GTCCGAAGGGTCTGTTTCCACACTGTAGGGATTCTATGGACTATGGATTCTATGGACTAACTTAGCAGCAGCACTGTGGCTCAGTAGTTTACACGGAGACCTCACAGTGCCAGGGACGCAGATTCAATCCCACCCTGGAGCGACTGTCTGCATGGAGTTTACACATTCTCCCTGCGTCTGCGTGTCTGGGTATTCCAGTTTTCTCCTACAGTCCAAAGATGTGCAGGTTAGGTAGAATAGCCATGATAAATTGCAAATAGTGTCCAGGGATGTGTAGGTTAAGTGGATTAGCCATGAGAAATGCACGGTTACAGGGCCAGAGCAGGGAGGTGGTCTGGATGGGACCCCTCTTCTGCGGGTTGATGTGGACTGATGGGCCAAATGGTTCCCACACTGTAGGGACAGTATGATTCTATGAACTGTCGTACACTATCCCCTTGTTCTTGTACTCCATGCCACTTTTAATAAAGCCTAGGAGACAGAATGCTTAATCAACTACTCTCTACAATAGTCTTTACCTTCAATGATCTGTGCACACAGATTTCTCTGTTCCTGCACCCCATTTAGAATTTAATTTTTTTTTGTCTGCCCATGTATTATCAAAGTGTATGGCATCACACTACTGTGCAATAAATTTCTACGGATACCTATCCATCCAATCCACCAAAAATTTGAAATTGTTCACTGTCCTCCTCACAGTTTACAAGAAAATGTCAACTGCACACCAAGATCTAGATCATTATAAATCTGAATAGGCGAGAGTTAATGCACTTAGCAGGACAAACAGGGCAAGGGAAAACATGATAAATTGGAAGAACCTTCGGAAGCACAGAGGATCAGAGGGACCCTGGTGTGTATGTCCACTGGTCCCTCAAGGTAACAGGACAGGTAAGTGGCATGTGGCATACTTGCTTCAATTAGCCAAGGCACAGAATTTAAAAAGGAGGAAAGTATTGTTGGATCTGTACAAAAAGTGGTTAGGCCACAGCTAGAGAGGTGTTTGTGGAGTTAGGAATTCACACGATAGGAGGGATGTGACTGCAGTGCAGAGGAGATGTACCAGGATGTTGCCTGGGCTGGAGAGTCTTAGTTACAAAGGGAGATTGGATACACTGTTTTCCTTGGACTGAGTAGACTGAGTGGGGGACATGATTGAGATGCGTAATTTTATAAGGGGCACAAGCAGGAAGGAACATTTCCCCTTGGTAAAGGGATGAATGACTAAGGGGTATAGATTTATGTTGAGAGGCAGGAGGTTTAGAGCAGATGGAAGGATTTTTTTTTCTCCACTTAAAGGGTGGCAAGAATCTGGAACTCACTGCCTGTAAGGGTGGTCAAGGCAGAAACTCTCAATTTATGAGCAATATTTAGATGCACACTCGCAATGCTAAGGTTTACTAGGCCATGAGGCAAGTGCTGGAAAATATAAATAGAATAGTTAGGTGGTTGTTTTTGTCTGGTGCAGACTGGGTGGTGTGGACTTCTATGCTGTAGACCTCTACAACTCTATCAAGAAAACCAAGTGTCTCAATCCCAATTCCTAGAAAACAGCATTACAAATGCTTCTCCAGTCTGGAAAATGTTGGCCATTTTTCTGTTTCCTGTCACTCAGCCAATTTTGTATCCATGTTGTTACTGTCCCTTTTATTCCAAGAGCTATAACTTTTCTCAAGTTTGTTGTGTGGCACTGTATCTAATGCCTTTTGAAAAGCCATATACATCACATCAAAGCACTATCTGCATTGACCCTCTCTGTTATTGCTCCAAAACAAAACCTCCAGCAAGTTAGTTAAACAGTCACCCCTTTAAAAATTCATGCTGACTTTTCTCAATCAAGCCATATTTTACCATGTGATAACTAATTCTATCCTGAATAACTGTTTCTAGAAACTTCCTTAGTGAAGTTACAAAGACTGGTCTGTAATTGCTAGGTTCACACTTACAACCTTTACTGCACATGGATGTGATGTCTGCAATTCTTCAGTTCCTGAGTCTGGGGAAGATTGAAAGACTACGACCATTGCCCTCCAACTGCCACTCTCATTTCCTTCAATATGCTTGAATGCAACTCATCTGGTCCCAAGTACCATTTTGAACCTTCTAGTGACACAATTTTCTTCTTGGTCACTCTGGTCTGCGTAGCATTACCATCTTGGCAAACATAGAAGCAATGCAAATTAGTCAAGCAGCTTGCTCTTGGGATGCTGCTGCTTTTGAACAAGTTGCTGGGTGAGTAAAGCAGGTTAACTTAATAATAAGGGGTAGCAAGGCGTAGAGCTGGATGAACACAGCAGGCCAAGCAGCATCAGAGGAGCAGGAAGGCTGACGATTCGGGCCTAGACCCTTCTTCAGAAATGGGGGAGGGGAAGGGGGTTCTGAAATAAATAGGGAGAGAGGGGGAGGCGGATAGAAGATGGATAGAGGAGAAGATAGGCGGAGAGGAGACAGACAGGTCAAAGAGGCACCTCCCAATCGCAAACCATTTCAACTCCCCCTCCCATTCCTCAGACGACATGTCCATCCTGGGCCTCCTGCAGTGCCACAACGATGCTACCCATATGCAGGAACAGCAACCCATATTCCGCTTGGGAACCCTGCAGCCCAATGGTATCAATGTGGACTTCACAAGCTTCAAAATCTCCCCTCCCCCTACCGCATCCCAAACCAGCCCAGCTCGTCCCCGCCTCCCTAACCTGTCCTTCCTCCCACCTATCCCCTCCTCCCACCCCCATCTCCTACCTACTAGAGGAGGCCACAACGGGTACAGCGGATGCAGTATACCACATTGGCAGATGTGCAGGGGAGCATCTGCTTGATGTGGAAAGTCTTCTTGGGGCCTAGGATGGGGGTGAGGGAGGAGGTATGGGGGCAGGTATAACAGTTCCTGCGGTTGAAGGGAAAAGTGCCGGGCATGGTGGGGCTGGAGGGGAGTGTGGAGTGGACAAGGGAGTCACGGAGAGAGTGGTCCCTCCGGAAAGCAGATAAGGGTGGGGAGGGAAAAATGTCTTTGGTGGTGGGGTCGGATTGCAGATGGCGGAAGTGTCGGAGGATGACGCGTTCGATCCAAAGGTTGGTGGGGTGGTACGTGAGGACGAGGGGGATTCTTTTTTGGTTGTTATTGCGGGGACGGGGTGCGAGGGATGAGTTGCGGGAAATGCGGGAGACACGGTCGAGGGCGTTCTCGACCACTGAGGGAGGGGGGGAAGTTGCGGTCCTTGAAAAACAAGGACATCTGCGATGTACTGGAGTGGTACGCCTCATCCTGGGAGCAGATGTGGCGGAGGCGAAGGAAATGGGAATAGGGGATGGCATTTTTGCAGGAAGGTGGGTGGGAGGAGGTGGCCTCCTCTACATTGGGGAAACCAAGCGGAGGCTCGGGAACCGCTTTGCAGAACACCTACGTTCGGTTCGCAATAAACAACTGCACCTCCCAGTCGCGAATCATTTTAACTCCCCCTCCCATTCCTCAGACGACATGTCCATCCTGGGCCTCCTGCAGTGCCACAACGATGCCACCCGAAGGTTGCAGGAACAGCAACTCATATTCCGCTTGGGAACCCTGCAGCTCAATGGTATCAATGTGGATTTCACAAGCTTCAAAATCTCCCCTCCTCCTACCGCATCCCAAAACCAGCCCAGCTCGTCCCCGCCTCCCTAACCTGTTCTTCCTCCCACCTATCCCCTCCTCCCACCTCAAGCCGCACCCCCATCTCCTACCTACTAACCTCATCCCGCCCCCTCGACCTGTCCGTCCTCCCTGGATTGACCTATCCCCTCCCTAACTCCCCACCTACACTCACCTTTACTAGCTCCATTCCCGCCTCTTTGACCTGTCTGTTTCCTCTCCACCTATCTTCTCCTCTATCCACCTCCCCCTCCCTCCCTATTTATTTCAGAACCCCCTTCCCCTCCCCCATTTCTGATGAAGGGTCTAGACCCAAAGCATCAGCCTTCCTGCTCCTATGATGCTACTTGGCCTGCTGTGTTCATCCAGCTCTGCACCTTGTTGTCTCGGATTCTCCAGCATCTGTAGTTCCTATTATCTCTGCTCCAGAGGAAAAAAGTTACTTTAAAGGCCACGTGCATGTGTAGAGCACCTCATTCAATCTCGCAAAGCCTTCGAAACGTTTGACATACAGAACTCCCTCTGAAGGTACACTGAATATTGCGGTGTGGAGACAGGAAATCTAACAATGTTTCATACCCAACAGCTTCAAAAAGATTTCACACCAATCTGTTGCTCCTTTGGGGAGCAGCGCCGCCCACAGTGCAAACTCAGAATGAATTTTCTGTGCTCCGGTGCGAGAGTGAGAGGCGACAAATTATATTTTTTTTTAAAAAAGGGGGTGGTACGGAAAGATTAAAAAACCCTGGCTACACATGTTTTCAGTCCACCGTGAGACTGAGAGTCACTGATCCCGCTTGGGGAAGGGGAGGAGGGATGGTCATGTCTCCCAGCCCAGGCTTACCCAGCAGTTGCTTCTCCTGCTCCTCGGCCACCGGGGCGGCGTTAAGGAGATGGGCGAAGACGGCGGCGAAGGGGTTGGCGGCCAGCGGCTCGGTACGGTACATCTCCCAGAGCAGGTAGAGGGCGGTGAGCCGCTGCTGGGGGCTCGGCAGCAGGTCGGCTTGTTGCAGCAACATGACGAGCGTGGAGCCGACTCGGAAATGGTCGTGCTTGGCGAAGTAGTGGTGGAAGGCGGTGGACAGGCCCTCGAAGGTGTTACTGGTCGCTTCCTCACAGATGATGCCGATCAGACTGCTCAGCTCCTTCGGAGCCAGAGTCATGGTGCCCGGGGGCCCGAGAGCCCGGAGGCCGGCTCCACCACCAGAAACGTCCCCTTGCGTGGGGAGAAACAAACAAACATATAACACGCCTCCCTCTTCTGTAAGAGCGAAATAAAACTCCGCACTTTAACCCGGCCACACTGCGCGAGACCCCTGCCGCAGGCCGCCGAAAACTGCCGCAAACCAAACGTTTGGCGCCGCCGTTTCACAGCACTGTCGCAAAACCTGGCCTTAGGGCTCTAGGCCCGAAACGTCAGCTTTCCTGCTCCTCTGATGCTGCTTGGCCTGCTGTGTTCATCCAGCTCTGCACCTTGTTATCTCAGGGCTGGGATTAAGTTTCAGCAGCAACATGGAGAGAGATTGTCTTCAGGAATGTGTTTGTGAGGAAATGTGTTTCCTTTATTCTTTATTCATTCACGGGATGAAAGCGACACTGGCTAGGCAGTATTTATTGCCCATCCCTAATTGCCCTGTGAGGAAATGTGGAGAGAGGCTGGATTAGAGTCATAAAGTTGTACAAGCAGAGAAACAGTCCCTTCTGACCAACTCATCCATGCAGAACAGCTATGCTAAATTAATCTAGTCCCATTTGGCCCATATCCCTCTAAACCCTTCCTATACATATATCCGGCTAGATGCCTTTTAAATGTGGTAATTGTACTAGACTCCACCACTTCCACTGCCAACTCTATTCCATACACGCAGCACCCTCTATGTGAAAAAGTTGCTAGGTCCCTTTTAAATCTTTCCCCTCTCATTATAAACCTGTGCCCTCTAGTTTTGGACTCCCCCACACTGGGGAAAACACTATTTGCCCTATCCATGCCCCTCATGATTTTATAAGCCTCTGAGGCACCTCTCAGCCTTTGACACTCCAAGGAAAATAGCCCCAGCCTATTCAGCCTCTCCCTATAGCTCAAACCCTCCAATCCTGGTAACATCCTTGTATAATCTTTTCTGAACCTTTTCAAGTCTCACGACCTCCTTCCTACAGCAAGGAGACCAGAATTGAACGCACTATTCCAGAAGTGGCCTAATCAATGTCCTGCATAGCCGCAACACGACCTCCCAACTCCTATACTCAATGCACTGACCAATAATGGCAAGCATACCAAATGCCTTCGCTAACCTGTCTACTTGGAACTCCACTTTCAAGGAATTATGAAGCGCACTCCACAGTCTCTTTGTTTAGCAACACTGCCCAGGATCTTACCGTTAACCTTTCCAAAATGCAGCACCTCACATTTATCTAAATTAAATGCCATCCGCCACTCCTCAGCCCATTGGCCCATCTGATCAAGGTCCCATTGTAGTCCGAGGTAACCGTCTTCACTGTCCACTACACCACCAATTTTGGTGTCATCTGCAAACTTAGTAACTATATTTCCTATGTTCACACCCAAATCTTATATATAAATGACAAAAAACAGTGAATCCAGCATTGATCTTTATGCCACACCGATGGTCACAGGCCTCCAGTCTGAAAGCAATCCTCTGCCACTACCCTCTGTCTCTCACCTTTGAGCCAGTTCTGTATCCAAATGGCTACTTCTCCCTGTATTCCATGTGACCAGTCTACCATGCAGAATCTTATTGAACGCCTTACTGAAATTGATAGATCATGTTCTTTGCTTTTATCAAGCCTCTTTATTACTTCTTCAAAAAACTCAATCAAGTCAGTGAGACATAATTTCCTGTGCACAAAGCCATGTTGACTATCCCTAATCAGTCCTTGCCCTTCCAAATGTGTATAAATCCTGTCCTTCAGGATCCCCTCCAACAGCTTGCCCATTACCGATGAGAGGCTCACCAGTTTATAGTTCCTTTGCTTTTCCTTACCACCTTTCTTAAATAGTGGCACCACATTAGCTAACCTCCAGTCTTCTGGCACCTCACCAATGACTATCAATGAGACAAATATCTCAGCAAGGGATCCAACAATCACTTCCCCAGCTTCCCACAGAGTACTAGGGTACACCTGATCAGGTACCGGGGATTTAGCCACTGTTATGTGTTTTAAGACGTCTAGCACCTCCTCCTGTGTAATATGGACATTTTTTAAGATGTCGCTTTTATTTCCCCACACTCTATATCTTCCCTATCCTTCTCCACTGTAAAAACTGATGTAAAATACTAGTTTAGTATGTTTCCCATCTCTGGCTGTTCCACACATAGATGGCCTTGCTGATCTTTAAGAGACCCTATTCTCTCCCTAGTGAAGAATGAGTTTGACTATGAGGAATGAAAGATTTGGTGAGCGAGTGACACTTTTGAGGCAGGAGCAAACCTGGCAGCAAAGTTTTGTTTTGCATCAAAATAAAACAAAGAGCTGTGGATCCTGGAGATCTGAAACGAAAACAGAAATTGCTTGTGAAACTCAGCAGGTCTGGCAGCCTCTGTGGGGAGAAAGCAGAGTTAACGTTCGAGTCCAGTGAAGAGTTCTAATGAAGTCTCTGGATTCAAGACGTTAACTCTGCTTTCTCCCCACAGATGTTGCCAGACCTGTTGAGTTTCGTCAGCAATTTCTGTTTCTGTTGTGCTTGGACTTTCTTGAGACAAAGTCAGGACTGTTTTATTAAGTTTTTTGATGTCAATGTACTTGTGTGATGATTTACAGTTTAACGTGGATATATTTCCATGTGAAGATCTGAACAACAGAGTGTAAAATATGTATCAGAGATAGTAGGAATTGCAGATGCTGGAAAATCTGAGATAACAAGGTGTAGAGCTGGATGAACATAGCAGGCCTGCTCCTATGATGCTGCTTGGCCTGCTGTGTTCATCCAGCTCTACACCTTGTTATCTCAGAGTGTAAAATATGTTTTCTCCCACAACTTTGTTGGTATTCAAGTCTCTGTCTTGCCTTGAATGAAAGTAAAATACTGCAGATGCTGGCAATCGGAAACAAACACAAAATGCTGGAGAGACTCAGCAGATCTGCTCTAATCTCTGGAGAGAGAAACAAATTTAACATTTTGAGTCTGGTATGACTCTTGTTCAGAACTGAAATATATATTTAAATACTTTTGACAGAGGAGGAGGCCCAGTACAAAAGATAAAGGGGTTGTTAATGATGGGGAAATTAAAAAAAAATGTAAAATTGGTGTAAATAAAGACGTGAGAGGGACAGAATGGGTCCTCTCTACTAAGTGCAAAATAAACAAGACACAGACAAGATAAGGCTGTGGGGTGGGGAGGGGAGAGAATGTAAGAACAATAGAGAACAGACATCATGCAATCAGCTTCTGAAAATGATTAAATTCCATACTGACACCTCAAGACTGTAAAGTGCCTTAGTGGAAAATGAGGTGTTGTTCCTTGAGCTTGCGGTGTGCTTTGATGCAACATCACAGCAGACTCAGGACAAAAATGTTCACTTGAGGGTAAGACGGTTTATTGAAAAGGGAAGCAACTGAAAATTTGGGATCATTCCAACGGACAGAGTGGAGGTGTTCTGCAAAACGGTCACCTAGTCTGTAGAGGGGTCACTGGACTTGAAACATTAACTCTGCTTTCTCTCTACAGATGCTGCCAGATCTGTTGAGTTTCTCCAACAATTTCTGTTTTTGTTTGAGATCTTCACCATTTGCAGCTCCTTGTTTTATTTCACCTAGCTTTGGTTTGGTCTCACCAATGTATAGGAGACTGCATTGTGAGTAGCAAATGCGGTAGTCTAGATTGAAAATAATATAAATGAAATGCTTCTTCATACAGAAGGTGTGTTTGGAGCCTTAGATGGTGAGGAAGGAAGATGTTAATGGGCAGATATTTCACCTTCAGTGATTGCGTGGGAAGGTGGTTTGGGGGAGTGAGGAAGATTCAGGAGTGATGGAGGAGTGGACCAGGGTGTCATGAAGGAAACGGTCCCTGCAGAATGCATACAAGGGAGGGAAAGGTAAAATGTGTTTGGTGGTGCTACCCTGCTGGATTTGGCAGTAATGGTGGAGGATGATCCTTTGAATGTGGAGACTAGTGGGATGGAAAGTACCAACGAGGGGAACCCTATCTTTGTTTGGGCGAGGAGGGGAAGGCATGAGGGCAGAAGTGCAGGAGATGTTTTGGAGACAGCTGAAGGCCCTGTCAGCCACAGTGGGGCAAATCCTTCATTGGGGAAAAAAGGAGGTCATTCAGAGGGAGTTTGGTGGAAGGTGGTATCAGAACAGATACAATAGAGACAGAGAAACTGGGAGAATGGAATGGAATTCTTGCAGGAAGCAGGGGTGAGGAGGTGTAGTTGAGGTAACTGTGGGAGTTGGTAGGCTTGTAATGGATATTGGTTGACAACCTATCTTAAGAAATAGAGACAGTGAAGTGAAGGAGGAGAGAAGTCAGATCGACCAGGTGAAGGTAAGCGAAGGATTGAAATTGCAAGAAAACTAACTGATTTTTTCAATTCTAGACAAGATCAGGAAGCAACATTGACGACATCATCAGTGTATCGGAGTAAGAGTTGTGGAAAGGGTTCCAGGTAGGACTAGAACAAGGAATGTTCCACATGCTTCACAAAGGATAGGCCTAGCTTGACTACACCTTCGATTTAGAGAAAATAAGAACAAATTAGCCAGGTGAAGAATGATGTAGGTGGAGGAAGACTGGTGCTGGCCTATCTCCAAGGAGGAAGCAGAGAGCCTTCAGATGATCTTGACGAGAGGTAGATGTGTAGAGAGTTTGCACATCCGTGGGGAAGAGGAGACAGAAAACTGAAAGTTAGGAACTGAGGTAAAGTATCAGACGAGTCATGAATGTAAGTGGGAAGAAACTGACCAAATAGGGAAAAAAATAGAATCAATATAGGAAGAAATGTGTTCAGTGGGGCAGAAACAGACTGAAACAATGGGTCTGCAAAGGTAGTCCTATTTGTGGATTGTGGGGAGGAGGTAGAAGCAGGTTGTGTAGAGTTGGGTGAATATGAGGTGGGAAACTGTGAATGGATGATCTCCAGGAGAGATGAGGTCTGTGACAATTCTGGAAACTACAGCCTGATATTCAGTGGTGGAATCATGATCTAACAGGGAATGGGAGGAAGTGTCTGAGAGTTGGTGCTCAGCTTCTGCCAGGTAGATGTCAGCGTGCCAAATGACGACTGCACCAGCCTTATTGGCAGGTTTGATCACAAGTTCAAAGTTGGACCTGAAGGAATGAAAGGCAGCAAGTTCAGACAGGGACGGGTTAGAATGAGTGCGGGGAGCAGAGAAATGAAGCCGGCCAATGTAATTTTGGTATTTCTCAATCAATAGATCAAGTGCCGGTAAAAGGGAGAGGAAGTACTGGAGATGGGTGAAAGCGTCTGTGTGGTGGGGAGAGGTTTCCTGTTCAAAGATGGAGGCAAAAACGACAGAAGAAGAGTTTAGCATTACGTCGTGCCTGAAGTTCATTGAGGTGGATATGTAAAGGGATAAAGATAAATTCTTTACTAAGCACAGATTGTTCAGTGTCAGAGAGGGCAAGGTCAAAGGGTGTGGTGAAATACTTGGCAAAATGTGTCTTTTTGTTTTGCTCTTGTCTCTTGATGGTTTCTCTTCACTATGAATGCGGAAAATTCAGGGCATCAATTGTTTTGGCTCTTAGCGAATTAACCTCCCCCTTATTCCAGTCATCTTTATTCCCATGTATCAAGATCCATTCCTTGATGAACCAAGATTATGTTTTAAGATTCATTCGCAAAATGTTAACATTCACTGGTAAGGTCAGAATTTAGTGTTCATTCCTAATTACCTTTATGAAAGTGGTGGTAAGATGCCTTCTTGAACTGCAGGAGTCCTTCTGGTGTAGGTACACCCATTGTGCAGTTGGAAGCTTAGTTCCAGGATTTTGACCCAGCAGAAGTGAAGAAATAATAATTCATTTTCCAAGTCAGTTTGGATTTTGGGGGGGAACGTGCAGATATTTTATTGAATGAGATTCTTTAAACATAATAAATTCATAAGCACAAAAGACAAAAGGTCTTAATCCGTACAATCTTTTCAGAGAAGAAAGAGCATGAACGACAGATTGGAATTGGACATCCCACAGAGCTGCCATGCAGTTGCAAAAACAAAGACATTTTTAACTCATGCAAGAAAAATATTTACATCCTTTTTGAGGCAATGTGGGGATCTGAGAACTGAACAGATCCTCATTATACTTTGGCAGAAAGACTTTGGAGCTCTTTGCCCACTGCATCTCGGTGGCAGCTGCCCCAGACTTCAGTGGGTCCGTCAGCATGTAGTCCTGGACCTTGGAATGTGCTAGTCTGCCACACTCAATCAAGGTCAACTCTTTACACTCAAAGACCAACAATTGTGGGGCAAACCAAAGAGCGTCATTCACTGAGTTGATGGTCCTCTAGGTGCAGTCGATGTTTATCTTGATGCACATCCCAGGGACCAGACTGTGGAGGACAGAGTCCTGTGTCACAGAGCAGCTCAGGATGAACCTCGCCAAAAACCATTGCATCTCTTTCCAGATCTTCTTTGCAAAGCACAATCCAGAAAGAGACGTGTGACAGTCTCTACCATCACCATCACCACCGCCACCCTCCCCCCCCACCACGCGCGCGCGCACACACACACACACGCAGTTACTTTGAAGGCAGCGTGCGGTGAGGCAGAGAGTCTGGGCACACATGAAGGATCTCAAGGCATTGCCCTTACCACCAGTCAAGTTACATCTTGATGCTTGTTATAAAGTTCTGGTGATGAGGCATTCTGCCAAATGCCTTTGACAGTCTGCTCAGGGAGCCACCTGAAAGGATTCACTCTTTCCTTTTGCTGCAGGGTCTTGATGATGCTACGTGCTGGTCACTGCCTGATGGACTCGTGGTCAAAGGTGACTTCTTTTGCAGAGTTTTGTCACGAGGTGTGGACAATGCAGAATAATCCAACTAATTGGAGCGTTGCACAGCACCAAGGCCCATCCTTCGCAACACCAGGGACAGGTAGAACCTCATTACACAATGACACTTAGTGTTTGCGTACCGATAGGCCACACACCGCTTGATGCACCCACACACAAAGGTGGCTATCATGACAGAGATTGGAGAGTTTTAGGTGCCGAGTTCCAGGAAAGATAGATACAGATTTAGGAATCAAGAACACATTTAAGGTCTCTGGGTACAAGACAGCTTGAGATGGGTGGTTGTTTGATTCTTAACTCAAGGAAAGTTTTTGCATCTTAATGCCACAGAATTTTAATTTTGAATTTGTATCAAAGTTAAAAGTTCCTAATTCTTTTCTCCAAGGTGTACAGTTTTCTGTTGCCAATGTTGTTTTTGTCACTGTGTATAAATTGCAATTTTAAAAAATGTAATGGAACATCAACAGAAATGAGCCACCAGAGGGCAGCAGAAAACCATCATGCGATCATGCTATCATGCAGGGGCTGCTCAACTCCAGAATGATTGGAAAAATAAAACGCTACAGTAATTCCATCTGCTCCAAAAGCTTGGATAGTCAACTGCACTGCCAAATATGAATTTTCCACCACGTTAGTTGGAACTCCCTCACGGAGTCTCTTGACTGGTCAGAACTGCTGCTTTCCAACTAGGCCTTTGAAATATGCTGAACTCTCTTTTGTCAGTTTGCTTATGTAGTAACTTTTCTTGTGGGAGGTAGGAAAAGGAACTTAAAACTGATGATGTTGAGAGAGGAAGAGAGGAAGTCCTCTATAAAAATCACATGTAAATAGTCTTTAGTCTTCATCGGCCAAATAATCTTCGAAACCTTTTTATAACTGACTTTGCCAACTCATACCTGTTCACAGCCAATATTCAGGGTTTATACTGAACACCATTTTCAACAAAACAGTTGAGTAATTCAATGGTCCTGTACTTCCACTCCCCCTGTTAGATGACTCAGAAATGATCTATTCATTTTCAGATTTGGTTTGGTTTCCAATTGAGGGCTGTTGGTATAAAAGTCCAGCTGCAAAGAGATCAGTTTGTCAAAACCAGAGATTAAAACCAGAAGGCTAAAACAACCTTGGGAATAGGAGAGAATAATTGCTTCAATCACAGCCCCACAGATTGCGAAGGAGATTGGAATGCGATAATGCATAGACAAAATGTGAAGAATATGGAAACTGGCAAACAGTAAGTTTGTCTTTGGAGATAAATAGTCTCAATGATCTCAAATTAGGATGTTCATGCAGTATTAACTAATTGCTGACTCCAAATGCATTTTTAAAATATCATTCATGGGATGTTAGCTGTGCCAATTTTTATGGCTTATCCCTCGATGCCTTTGAAGACATGATAATGAGCTGCCTTCTTGAACTTGGATTATCTTTGAGGACTGAATAGAAATGCTTCACGAAGCAGTTAGCCAGTCTGCATTTGGTCTCCCGAGTGAAGAGGACACCACGTTGTCAGCAATGAATATACAAAGCAATAAGTTGAAAAAGTACAAGTAAATTGCTGTTTTACTTGGAAGATATGTTTGGGACTTTGGAGGGTGGAGAGAGAAGAGATAATAGGTCAGACTGTATGTCCATTCAGCCCATCAAGTCCACTCTACCATTCACTAAGATAATGAATGATTTGATAATCCTCAACACCACTTTCCTGCCTTTTCCCCGTAATTATTGATTCTCTTGCTGATTAGAAATCCATCTATCTTGGCTTTGAATATATGTGATTATCCAGCCTCGAGAACCTTCTGCTGTAAAGAATTGAATGGATTCACCACCCTGTGAGAGAAAAAAAACCATCCTCCTATCTGCCTTAAAGGATGACTCCACCCCTGCTCCAGACTCTCCACAAGCGGAAACAACCTCTCTATATCAACCTTGCCAAGCCCCCTATGAAGCTTAAATGTTTCAATTAGGTATCCTCTCATTCTTCAAAACTACAAGCCCAACCTACTCATCTATCCTCAAAAGAAAATTCTGCCATAGAATCAAAGAATCCTTACAGTATGGAAGCAGGCCATTCAGCCCATCGAGTCACACAGAGCCTCTGAACAGGATCTAGTCCAAACTCACCCCCTACCTGATATCTGTAACCTCACATTTCCCATGGGTAATCCAAAAGACTACATATTCTTGGACACTATGGGCAATTTACCACAGCCAATCCATCTAATCTGCATGTCTTCGGATTGCAGGAGGAAACCCACACAGCCACCGTACCTGGGATCCATCTAGTAACTGCTGTCTGGATTACCTCCATTGCCAGTATATCTTTCCTTAGATAAGTGAACTAAAACTGTTTACAGTAATTCAACTTTGGGCTGACCAGTGCCTTTTATAGTTTTAGCAAGACTCCCCATTTTTATACCCCATTCCCTTTCAAATAAAGGCCAAACAGTCCACATGCCTTCCCTATTACCAGCTCAAGCTGAATGCAAGGTTTTTGTGATTCATGCTCAAGGACCCCCCAAATCCTTTAGTTATGCAAATTTCTGCAGCCTTTTCCAATTTAAATAATATTCAGCTCGTCTATTCTTCCTGCCAAAGTGCATAACCTCACATTTTCCCCACAAAATATTCCATCTGCCAAGTTTTGTCCACCCGCTTAACCTGTTTATATCTCTTTACAGAATCCTTGTGCCATCCTCACTACTTGACTTCCCACCTACTTTTGTATCATCTGCAAACTTGGCAATAATGCATTCACTTCTGTCATCTAAGTCATTAATGTAGATTATAAATATTCGATGTTGCATGCAATGTTTCCTCTAGGTTGCATGCACACTGCGATTAGGTTGGCATGCCAATTGCAGCATTGACTTCTGGTTAGGGAAGACGCTGTTGCGCTTGGACCTTGCGGCTTGCACAGCCGGAAAAAAAAGTTAGAGGAAATTCTGGTTGCATCTCTGTACTTGCGTAGGAAGGTGTCACAGAGAATGGTATTGGGACTGACTGAGGAGTGAACATGGGTGTCACAGAGAAAGCTATCCCTTTAAAGTGCTGAGAGGGGATGGCATAGTAAAGGTGTGTTTGGTGCTGGCATGGAGCTGGAGGTGGCAGAAATGGTGGAGGATGGTGTATTGAATAGGAGGCCACTAGAATAGAAGATGAGAACAATGAGGATTTTATCAAGGTTCTCAGATGATGAAGAGGTGAGAGCATGGATGAGTAAAATTGTTTGGATACAATTGAAAGTGAGAATCCTTTATTGAAGCGAAAGGAAGACAGATTGGAAGTGCTGGCATGGAAGTATGAAGGAAACAGATAAACTTGGAAAATGGGATTGTCCTTACAGAAAGCCGGGTGTGAGGGTGGGTAATCAAGTTCGCTTTGGAGCCCGTGGACTTGTAGTGAATATTAGTTGATAGCCTAATCCCAGAATTGGAACTAGTTGATATCAAGAAAAGAAAGGGAACAGTTGGAGATAGACCGCGTGAATTTGAGAATAAGGGGAATCAAAGATAACGCCAATGAGATATTCCAATTCAGGATGAATGGGACCAATACAGCTATCATTGTGCCAGAAAAAGTGGTGATGGAGAGGAGCCTGAGTGGATAAGGAACGTTTCATGTATCCCACAGAAAAGCAGACATAGCCAGGGCCCAAGCCGATATACATAGCAACAGTTTTATATTTGAAGAGAGTGAGTGGAGTTGAAGGAGAAGTTGTTCAATATTCAGCCAGATGGAGGAAGGTTGTTGTGGACGTGGACTGGTTCAACCTAAATTTCTAGGAAGAAGCAGAGATCTCCTGGACGACCCTGATAGAGATTGGAGAACGTTATGAAAAGGAGTTAGCTACAGCCAAAAAGCTGGAAGCTTGAAGTGATGATTTCAGAAGTATCACAGATGTAGGTGGGAAGAGACTGAGCAAGGGGAGAAGAAATAGAGCTGGGATAGAAAAGATCAGTGGGGGCAGGAACAAATTGAAATAATTGAGAGCCTTACCCTGTTTGAAATTTGTGCTTTACATGACTGGTGAGGATTTAATATAGAAAGTAAGTCTGAAGAGTGGTAGTTCCTCATAACGCTGACCTTAATAACCACAAAAACTGTTCTTTGGCAAAGTAGTGTTAATATTCACCTGTTTTCTACGTTGTCTTCTGGGTTAATTTGTACTCCCACAAGCCATGCAGCAACATCTACTAACAGTCGAATTATTAAAGATAAAACCAAGCATAGTGATCGAGTGTAATATAACAAGATTCCACTACCAATAAATAATCTCATTCAGCTGGAGTCCAGGTAGGACAATAGGTGGAAAGGTCAATACTTGAATTCACTGTAGTTTGGATTTGCTACAGTCTGATTTTCTGGTCATCAATTTTAATGGCTAATACGTTGAGAATGCTATCATCAGGTACACTGACCTCTTAGTTATCTGATATGTATACTGGGTGAAGAGACTTGAAATACTTGCTCTTAGAGATATTGAGATTACATTTTCTCTCTTAATATGGTAAAAAGAACTCCCAGAGATGTGGTGTACTAATATAACCTTGCAGGCTGTGTGCAAAAAAAAAAGGTTGATTGAGTAATTACATTTAAAAAAATATTTTTGCCAGTGGAGAAAGGGGAAGCAAATCAGTTCCTGACTGACTATAAAATGGAAGTGATTCATCTCAGTAGTAGTTTGTGTGGGATTGAATCCATGCCAAATCTGTATTATACAAAATAAAGCACAGTAGAGTTCTTTTCAATAGCAAGAGAGTAGTCCACAGACAGAATAAAACTACTAAAAAGGGAACCTATTAGATGTGCAACTTTACTAACATATCCAGGGATATTTAGCTTTAGTTTACTATGTTAGTAGACAGTCCAAACAAGAGAATAAAGCAATAGATTGACTTTAAAAATTGATGATGATACCAATAAGTTTTTGTATACCACAATGTTGAGTAGACAACTACATCAATCCCATACTTCCAGTGGGCAGTTTCACTCATAGGTGAAATACCAGACATGGAAATCAATGTTGAAGCACAGATTCTTTGATAACTGACCCCTGCGAGTACAGCAGGATCAATATCT